AAAGCCGGCTTCGGCTTTCTCGATTTCGGACGTCGGTGTGGCAAAGAGGAAATGCGATCGCGCCTTTATCACCGGCTCGAAATCGAAGTCCCGATAGTTCGCGCGGCGTGATGATTAATGGCGAACGTCTGTCCTAGACAATTGGAATATAAAATGCGAAATCTCTCTCTCTCTCTCTCTCTCTCCCTCACTCTTTTCTCTTCTCTAAGGGAATATCTGAACGGCATCGTATGAATAAAATAACCATCAATTTTGACGAATCCGCGGTCGCCGTATAAAATTTGCAACAAAAACATCTTCGTTCGCTGCGATTAAATTAAACAGATCAGATTGTTTTTCACAACATTGTTTTCTACTATACACGTCGTTTGATTTTCCATACGCGACGCTCCGCGCGCGTGTTTTTATCCGAAAATTCGATATCGGATACTCGCGGCGCAAATAAAGTTCGGAATTGTTGAATCAAATTATTACGTACTTTAGCATTATGATAACCTTATTGTTTTAAACAATATGCGATGTTACGCGGGACGCATATTTACACGATTCTATACATATATTTCGGTTTTTGCATCCGGTCACCGTGCGCGTGTGTGTGTGTGTGTTTAATATTTCGGTATTATTCAGCTCTTTTCGAACGCGCGACACCTTCATTAGAGCTCATGCAAATAAGCTCTTGTGCCAGTTTTAATCCACTTTACTACACACACTGCTTATGCTTTTTGTTTAAATATATACAATATTTATATTATTTGGAAAACAAAATAATGCGACATTTAGTTCGCGACGAAAATAAACGTGGCTTCAAAAGTTGTTTTATTTGCGAGCTATAGCGTATAAAACATTTCCAAACTTATTTTTGTTACTATTTTGTCAACAGGCGATTGTTATTTATAATATAAATGTAAATAAATGTTGTAAAAGCAAAAGATAAAACTGTGACATTTAAAATGCCATCTTTTGGAATAAAAAAAAAAAAAACAAACAAACAAAAAATAAACCTTGTCCCACGCTTATTTACAATCACACGTATCGCGCGTATCAACAAGTTTTTTTTATATATTTTTAGAAACATCGCGTGTTTGTGTACTTTAGTTTATGATCCTTTTATTTTAATATTATTTCAAAACGATCAACGCTTTATAATGGTTGCTTTGAAAGTTTGCCAAAACGCTAACACCAAAATTATTTCGAATAAACAATATATTTTAATTAAGTTTAAATAATATCATGTATACGTTTTTATAATTACGTGATGCGTGATTCTGCGTGATTTTTTGACGAGAACAAACGCGTGCTTTTTCAAACGTACGTGAAATGTGCGTAAAACTGCGGAAGTCGCGCGCGATAGAAAGTCGAGATTTTCCCCAGTCGATCTTTTAAACGGCGCCCGCATCCGGAGACGGCAATCTCGGTCTGGTGTTGGCAAAACAATAGTTTCGACCGGTGTAATCTCGGACTGTGTTTTAATCTGAAAGAACACCGGGCACGCCGCTGATTGCATTGCATAGTAATCTTAGTTTTTATCGCGTCTCGAGATTGGTGGAGGTGTCGGCGGCCGCGCGAAGGAAGGTTTCCCCACGCGCGCATTCCCCTCGTTGCAATGGATATCGGGGTCACACGGAGGCTGGCGCACTCCGCGTTATACATCACGTATAAATTTCGACGAGAGAGAAGAAACAAGAGCGCGCGGATCAACTGGTGGGAAAAAAAATATCCGCGTAATGCGTATGTTTTGATTCACCGTCGATCGTTTATTTATTTATTTATTTTTTTTTTTACATCAATTGCACAAGAAACGACGAGATCTTTCGTGCGCACATTTGTTGATTATTGTTTTTTTGTTTTATGTGCATCAATAACTCGCCGCGTTAAATTTTTAACGCTGTTGTATATACATTGATAAAACAACAAATCGCGAGCGATTGTTTGTTGTATACTAATTTAAATTTAAAAAGTTAACTTGATGTAAATATTTATTAGAATAACATATTCGTGTGTTTGTATTTTAAAATTTACATACGGAACTTCAGCTTTCTAAAGTTACATAACAAACTTATTAAAATGTTCAAGCACAAACGTTATAAACTCCGGCGTGTGCAAATATCACATTGATATTCTGCAGAACAGAAAATATCGGGGAAAATATCGTTCGCGCGAGCGATAACAGAAACCATAAAAAAAATTCGATATCGCTGACTGACTACGTCAATCGACAGCGACGACTCGCTGTTTTAATTAATAGTCTCTAGGAAAAGATATATATATATATGTATATATATATATACACATATATATATTATATATATATGTACATACATATACAAATGTTGTCGGATCGGAAAAACTTTTATACATCTACCAGAACATCAACATGCTGATGGAATAAAAAACGGTTATTCTACGGCTCTGCCAATACGACATCGCGTGTTTATTTGCCGGATCTCGTCACGAGAGCGCATTCTTCAATCTCCGTGGCAATATTCCGCAAAGCCACCGACGCGTCTCTCTCTCTCTCTCCCTCTCTCTCCCTCTCTGTTTTGCTAGTGAACTGCAATTGCCGCGTTTATATCATTTCTCACCCTTCACGGGCGATAATTAATTACTCTGGAAGACCTTTTAAGTCGCGTTGGCCGCGACGCGACGCAATTATCGCGAACAGCCTTATAATGACGCGCAATTTATGCGTCGTGACAAACTTACCCGTAGCGCCCATTAAATTACTCGAGGTTTTTCTTTGAATTTTTCTTCTGTTTTTGTTTTGCGAAGAGAAAAACCCAATTCGATCGAAAAGCGATCGATTCTCTCTCTCTCTCTCTCTCTCTCTCTCTCTTTTTCTCTCCCGTGAATCGCGCTGTTGCGATAAACGCCAAATGAGGATCGATGGTTTAATCGAACCTTCAATATGAAAAAGAAACGTCAGCGGAGAGAAGTCGGTCGCATTTTTCGGAACCAACGCGCTTTCGGGAAATAAAATGTGCAGATTTGCGATAATGAAGCAATCGGATTACGGCGTGCGATGAATGAACAGAACTGAAACTCGGTGCGCGATGTGTAAATCAAGAAACGTATAAATGCTCTGCTTTATCAGTCGAATCACTTTGATATTCACTGCAAAAATGCTCGCACGACGAAGTCGTGTAAAATAGTCGCGAGATAGAAATGCAGAGGTTTAAATTAAACACACACACACACGCGCGCGCACGCACACGCGTGCGCGTAGAAAAAAACACAAGTCGAGTTTTCAATGTGGAATTAATGGTTTTATAAGTAATTAATGAAAATTATGCTCGAAAAAGCACACCGATTCCTGGGGGCTATTTGGAAAAATGCGAGGATATCATATCGCGGACTCGACGAGTCAAATTAAATTCTTCTCTGCGGGAGTTATCGCAGCGAATCGATTGCTCTTAGCTCGAATTTACGTGCAAAAATTTACCGAAAAAAGTTGAATCGTCGATTGTGCACCTTTTGGAATTCGATAGGCCAATTAATTGCAAACGAATGACGAGTAGCGGCGCGTAAATAAAACTGAATAATTAAAGCGATAAATTCAAAAATAATTGGAACGCCCGCCTAGATCCGAGGGAAAAAGCTGCTTTTCTTCGTTATACATTAATTAGAACAACGCAATGACAGATTTAATCCAGAAAATCATTTCGTGAGAAATTTTTTAACTGAACTTCGTTCATTTCGTTTTCTTTCGTGCTGTTTGCTTGACTCTCTCTCTCTCTCTCTCCCTTTATTCAGCGTATAAAATGTTTTCCTCGTTATATCAACCGCGTTTATTTGTAATTTGCACGATATACATCTAGTTAAAAACAAATGCAAAACCGAACTTAAAATTGGATAAGCCGCGACGTCCGTATAATATTTCCGGGAACGCAAAGTATTTTAATTATCCGGTCTATTTCTTGCTCGCGAACATTGCGCGAACTTTGCTTCTTCGCGTCGTGTCGATCGGTGGTAAAAGTAATCTGCCACGTCAATGGGAAAAAATCGCGGCAACGAGATGGACATTCCATCGGTTTCGCGGCGCGATGCATATGTATTACTCGTCACTCACTCCCTTTAACGAACATTTCGCACGACGTTCCGGTTCCGCTTGCTGTCTTCACGAATATTTCATTTCCGTCATGTTCCCGGCTTCGAGTTATATAAGAAGCCGGGATAGTCGTTAATTACGCAGAGTGCCATTATGCTACGCTTTCGCGTTTGCATGATAAGTCCTTTCTATGATAATTATTGAAAATGGAGCAAAAAAGGGAACGCGAGAAAAAAAAATACATCTTTACATCTCTCTTTGGAAATAGAATTACTTCGACAAGTCGATTACTTCTGCGCGAGTCATTTGTATATTACGGTCGTTATTGATCAAAGATTTAATACTCGGCTTATATTTATGTTTAGAAATTGCAATTTCGTGCACAATGTTGCGGTGTGCGTGACAGCAGACAAAAAAAAAACAGTCTTTGCAGGAAAATATCGAGAGAATACGATGCGATCGTAAATCGTTACGTTTAATATCTCCCATCGATATCTCCCCTCAAATAAATACTTTTATTGATAAAGGAAGAAAGGCATTACCGCGTGGTCGTTAATAATCACGTGAAATAGCGCGGAGATATGTGTGAACGTGTTGCGTTGCAACAACTCGATGAGAAAGATTTAATTTCCGATATAATACCATGTGTGCGCACACTTCTAGTTTTGTAAAAGCATCATTTCCGTAAAGCGTAATAATATCGTATCTCGCGCGCAATAACTTGCATCGTATCTCGTTTAAAAAATCACCGCTAATGAAAGCGTAATAATGTATATTCATCTCACATCGGGGCGTCGCGAAACAAAAAAAAAAAAAAAAAAAAAAACCGAACTAGCATTTTTTCCCCGATCTCGAGCGAGAAATATTTCTGGATTATGAGAGGGATACAACGAGAACATGCGCGCGACGCGCAGTGGTAATGGTAATCGACTGCATTGTGGTAGACGTTACTCACCGGTTTTCACAGTAGGAGACGCCGAGGGCTGTGCGCACAGAACATGCGTGCTTCCTAAGAGCGCCAGGGCAACGCGAAAAAACTTCATATTGCTCATCGTGAGAGTGTGGCTATTCCATGGAAATCCTGAAAGCACACGAGATAATGAATTTTCTTTATGCTCTCCGTGATTAAATGACAGAGATAAGAACAACAAACACATTTATGTCATAATTTAAACAAATCGTGAAAAAAGAGATATATATCATTAAAGTAAACGTAGCGTAGTTTTTATTTATCTATTCGCAGTTCGCAATTACCGTCGTAAAAATATAATGATCATTTTTTTACTGTTTTTGTGAAACAAAAATTTATTTAATAATAGTGTGATATTTTAAAATTCATACGTCTCTCTATCTCTTTTTTTATTGCGTGTATTTATAAAAATTTAATACTTCACACACACACACAACACATGCAGATATATAATTCATATTTTAAAACAATATATATTGATGTTTTTCTCTCTCTAGAGAAAAATAATTATTATTTTATTCCACACACAAACAATTCGGTAGATATCATCGATTCGATGAAGTTACATCTTTCTTTTCTACAAATATGTATCTGTTTGTAATGTAATAAAATGTTAAGTATATTTTTTTAAATATCTATCTAGAGACACACACACACACACACACACAGATAATCAGAGAAATTTGTTTAGCCCGTCACGACGCGATCTTCTCGAACGTATAGATCGACTTCGTTTTCGCATCGAGTAATAAGATCGTCGCTTTCTCGTTTTCTCACGCACAACACCGCCGCCGGGTGAAGAAAAACAGCGAAACAACGATATAGTGTCGTTTCCATCGCGAAATGAGATTCTGATACCGCAATTTGATCACCGCGTGTTGTCGCCGCGGGAGCGGCGTAATAAGGGTGTGTGACGAAGAGGGTAGTAAAACGAAAATGGGCGGCGTGTGAGGAAAACGCGGTGGTTGACTTATCGGAAATTAATATGCTACGAAGCTGCGCGGAGAAATGACATCGCGTCGTCGTTTACGAGCGCGCGGAACGAGGATAGGAAGAGAATTTAAAATAGATTTGCTCACGAGCGAGAAAAAAATACTCATCGTCGTCGTCGTCGTCTGTTCTCCCGCGGAGCTTATCGCGGTTGAGATAACGGGGCGAGTGCTGGGGTGAGTCTTACAAAGCGACTAAGGCACATTGATGGTCGCCGTTAAGAGGATGGGGCGAGACTCGCGGCTGTGTGGCGGCTAGATGGATCCCTTCTCGTCGAGATGAGGGTGAGAGATATCGAGCATTGTATGTCTCCGCGCGCGCAGCAACCGTCGCCCCATCGACTCCCGCGGATTCGCAAGGGCTGATCCACAGAATGGATAGATCGTAGATAAGTAGCGATCTTGCCTCTCACGGAACGTCGCTCGCTCGGTCCGATCCGGCTTAAAGCGACAGAAGTCGAGTGGCGCGACTTCGAGCGTAAACCCACGACTAGAGAATGTGGTTTCGCGAGACGATACGTGTTAGAAAACGAGCCAAACGATTGCGGTGAGGACGCTCTTGAATAGAGTTGACGACTAAACACTTCCGGTGGAAGAAAAAAATACATAAAGAGAAATATACAATGTTCGTGCAGTTCAACAACGATAATGTACGCACACATATGAGTGTTGATGATATACAGTGAGAAAAAAAAACCAATTATTAAATAATAATATTCCTGTTCAATTACGTGTAAATTTATGCCTGGCTGTAACAGATTGAAGAATTTCAAAATTACAAATTCTTTATACCGCATTATTCTTCAATTTATCGTCGATGTGAGTACAACGTTATACAATATCCGTACATGTAGCGCGCATGATTGAATCTTTTCAGACAAAATCGAATGTTAATTTAGTAAAAATGCGTTTTAATGATACGCGCCGAGTTATGTATCGCCAATATTAATTCGCCAATCGATTATTCATACGATATCTCCCATTAGCGGAATGATTTATCACTCGGACGAGATATTGCATTCAAATTTCATTACCTTAATAGGAACAAAATCCTTAATGGCCACATATGCTGCGATATACCCCGGGTAGATAGGAGTCAATAAATAACCACAGCCAACACTCTTCCCTTTCCCTCTCTCTCTCTCTCTCTCTCTCTCTCTCTCTCTCTTTCTCTTTCGCCTTTCCCTTACATAGATCGCAAATCGTCTAAATCCACCGATCGCTCGGCCGTATCAGGAACTCATTCCGCAGAGAGAGAGAGAGAGAAAGAGAGACGATTTCCACTCTTCCGGCGCGCGAATCCCGAGGAAAAAATGACGTAGACGAAGCACCAGTGAACTTGGTAAAATACGAGTGCAACCGGCACCGCGATCGCACCAAGTGCATCGCTGTGGGCACCTGCATTCGTGACGGATCTGCGGATCCGGGCGGAGTCTCACGGATACACACACGGACAGACGCGAACGCGTGTCGGCGATTTATCGCGTTCGCATATACGTGCCGTTTGCTATTGTGTACCGCCGCGCTGCCGTAGAAAAGCATATACTGTATCAGATAGGGGAGAGAATGTATGGAATCACCTCGAGCGTTACTACTCACTTCGCCGAAAATCGCAATGACGAAACGCGCTGACGGCGTGTCGAATTGCTTTTTGCACGAACCGCGAAATGTGTTAATTAACGCTAGCCATTGTTATTTAGAATTGTACACAATATTAATCAAATTTTTTATTTTGAAAAAACAATGTTTGCTCATGTACCAAATTAAACACTGCGCGAAAAAAAGTATCCGGTACATGTTATAGAAAATTATAAAAATAAAACATTTTTGTTTATTTTTAAAATGAAAGTCCCGAAACTAGCAAATCCAGATGGCAAAATGAAACCTATTAGTTAATAGATTTTTATTTTTTAACGAGAATGAATCTCGTGCACAAATCCGTACTATGGTTAATTACCTTTATTATCGCGCAAAATTTTTTCATAAAAACTGGAATTTTTCGACTTGCAAAGTTTTTTTTGTTTTGTATTATGTCTTTAAAACCCGGATTGAAATGTCACAGTACTCGTCAACACACAGAAAGAGTCACGTGTCTTTAAAAACGTGACTAAAGTAAAGTCACGTGACAAAGGAGAGAGGGAAAACAACACACGTGACTTTACTTTAATCATGTGTCTGTAAAAACGTGACTAACAATAAGATAAAGTCACGTGACAAAAAGAAGAGGAAAAACAACACGTGACTAAAGTCACGTGTCTTTAAAAATCGGACTGAAATGTCACAGTACTCGCCAACACACAGAGAAACGGAACAAAGCATGATCATCTTACAAACCATATAATACACATATGATTTCTTGTCTGTATTATTATTTTTTTTTATTATAACAGATGTGAGATTAACTAAAAAAAGAAAATAAACCGATCGACGATGAAAAGAATCTGTGACTAATAGATATAACTCATGGGCTTCGTTTGTGTGTACCGACTTTGAGGAAAATGGTCGAGCAATATAAAGTCCGACCGAGGCTATAAATCAGCAAGATGGGCAAAAAATTATGCGATAAAGAACTTTCGTTTTACTACAGAGAGAAGGGGAAGGCGCGCCTCTCTGAACAGAGAAATTTGCATTTCCTCCCTGCTTACCTCCGCAGAAGCGGAAACGTTTCTCAACGTTGTGCATCGCAGGATGAAGAATATTTTCCTATTAAGAAGTCACTGTATTCCATTATGCCGCATAAATATATACAACGGGGGGTTGCTTCTTAATCAGATCTACGCGCGTTACAGAAAGTAATATATAATTTATTTTACGTATTTTCACTTGGATAAAAATGTTTCGCGCTCGAAGTGCGTTTCGAGTTTTCTCTTTCTTGTGAGAAAATTGCGTTTATTTTATTCGCGCAAACCGCGTTCCGCGTCGCATTATTTAGCATATTATTAAGTTTTGTATTCAAGTTGCAGATATTCAAGATTTGGCAAAGCTACAGAAGTCACGCCGCGGAATGCAACGATTCTAACTTTTGGCATTTTATATGAGTGTAATTCACAAACGCGGATACACAAACCGACTTCCGGGCGATATTTAACACAGTCAGTTGTGTTCTAATTTATTTAATTCGCCCGAAAGTTCTGTGCAACGTTTAACCGTGCCAACGGCAGGACAGAACCAAGAGGGGGGTAGGGCAGTTCGGCTTTTGCCAAGTACTATGTTATCGGTTTATACCGAGGAAAAGTTTCCGATGGCTACCGAAAGTACGGAAACTTTATCAGTGTTTTAAAGAAAAACTTCTCTTGTTTCGTATAGGTTACACGGGCGTTTATCGATCTTCATTTACAAGTTGCTTGATCGATGGCGAATAGCGGTGATGCACGAAAACGCGAGGACGACGCGAGCAACCGATTCGCTTTACACACAAGCAATCGAAGTGTGAAATTTAATATTTTCGGACATGTCCATTAAACCTTGCGAGACTTTACTTCTTTGCCTCGTGTCTCGTTTTCTCTCGAGAAAACGTAAACGTAAACATCGCGAAAGCGGAAAGAAGAGATCCGTTAAAAAAAAAGCCAAAATATTTATGTTGCTGAAATTCAGAAATAAATTGAAATAAAAAAAAAAAAACCAAGTTCAATGAAAATCTCATAGATTGGAATCTAATAAATCGGTAAATTAATCAACTGATAGAGCCACACTGCGTTAAACAGAACTCAATATGTGTTCCCTCCGCGTTGAAAGCATTTAAAACGCGCAACCGACCGCATCGACGACGGCCGACAATTTCACGCGGCCGTTCCATCGTCCTAAACAATATTCACTTTCCACTCTGTTTAACTCGCGCAAAAATCACTGTCGGTCACTTTTTCGAACGCCGACACTTTCCCGTCGTCGTAAACGAGCCGTGTGCGGGCACACAAAACGCACCTCCCGGCCTCACGGCTGCACAATGGCGACGGCACACAACCGCGGGCTACGCGGATGACAAGCGCATGTATTTGTGCACACGCTCATGTATGTGTGCGCGACGAATTCGAGCAACCGTGTGAATAAGGAATGACGCGATCCTTCGGGGGCATGTATTTTTGTGTAAAATATTCTACGCGCGCCGTAAGCGCGACAGGGAAA